GCCATTAACTGTCCCTCTTCCTTCTGCCACCCTGAAAGAGCCAGGCTCGCCTCTTGCACCCAGCCAGTGGCCAATAGCTGGGCTCCCCACTAATGGGATGGTAGGCTCATGTCAATTCCCCTGGCTTACAATGAAACCCGGCTCTTTGAAAGGGACCACAGTTGAGTGCCGTCCTAAAGTGAAACCTCTCGCCTCAAGGAAACTGCCTGGCAGGTTTGTGCGTGCACATCTTTCCACACTCCTGAACAAAGAAGGGCATTCCCATCCCCTGGGCAGGGAGACTAGGAGGTAAGGACCCAAAACAGCTCTTCTCAACACAGAGAAGTTGGTGTGTTTGAATCATGAGGTGGGAGCAGGGGAGGAACCCCACCATAACCTCCAACACACTTGGTCTAGGATGGGGCCTGGGCATCAGGATGTTTGGAAAAGCATCCCAGGTGATTTTAACCTGCACCCAGGGTAGAAGATCACTGATTTAGGGAGAAAACAATGGAGACGCTCAGCTAGGACTCTCCAATGCACCCAGATGGAGAATATCCAATTTCAAAGCAGGTCCTCCCCAGATCCCTCCCCTCAGCAAGATGATCTCTGCAGCTGCAGAGTATCCTTGGGAACAGCACGGTGAACTCTGGTGCCACACCTCATTCACACGGTGCCTCTAAACCAGGCTGAGCCTCGGTTTCCCCAGCTATTAGGAAAGGGATCTTCTAGATACATTTGTTTTGCTTCTCTTGTCTCCATTTTCCAGCTTCATGTTTCTCCTTCTCTCCTCATCTTGCATTTAAATGCACACTCCTATATATGCCTTTCTGCCTCTCCAAAAATGCACAGGGGGTTCTCGAAATTCGATTTGGGTAATGTCTGCCCTCGAAGTAAATAACACCATAAAAACTATAAGCTCTATAATCCAATCAGGGGATGGAACATTAAGAACGTGATATTCCATAAGGCATAAAACACTCCATTCCTGAGACTATAAAACCAACCATTCTGCTGGAGAAACTCATGCAGGATCATATAGACCCTGCCTCTTAAATGCCAGATGAGATCAGGAGTTCTCTGCTACACAGCAACTGTCTACTGTGATGTTAGTCATTTTTTATTCCTTTTGAGCCTGTTTTAATATCTATTTATCAAGTAGAAAATTCACTTTAGAACCACTTTCAGAGCAAGTATAAAGACATCCTTAAGGATAAATTAGCTACATTACTTTGATTCAATGAAATACATAAATCTCTCACCCTGCATAAGCTCACAGCCCATAAGAGCACAAGCCATCTCTCAGATGGGCCTGCTTAGATCAAAAATGGCGCAGAAACACACAAATGACTAGGGTACAGAGCAGAAGCGGGCAAAAAGTAGGTCTCCTTGGGACCCCATCTACAGTGATATAGCTGTAGAAAGTACCAAAAGATTTTTTTGTTCTACGTCATTTCAGAAAACTTTAACATCCACCAAGCCCAGATCACAACCATGTTCCAGACTGGCTGGTCAACTGGCCATCCCAAGACCCTCAAACTCAGTGAGTCTAAATCAGAACTCACCACCTGCCCTCCAGTGCTTGCATTTCTTTCTTTTAGAAAAAAAAAATTTTTAATGTTTATTTTGTTTTTGAAAGAGAGACAGAGTGCAAGCAGGGAAGGGGCAGAGAGAGAGGGAGACACAGAATCCGAAGCAGGCTCCAGGTTCCCAGCTGTCAGCACAGAGCCTGACATGGGACTCAAACCCACCAGCCATGAGATCATGACCCGAGCTGAAGTCCGATGCTTAACTCAATAAGCTACCCAGGCAACCTGCTTGCATTTCTGATCTCAGTTAAGGAGCTGCTATCCACCCCAGCTATCCAATCAGAAACGTGGTAGTTATCCTACAACCCTATCTCCTCTCAACCCTCTCTCCACGTCTTCCAAATCCCTATGTCCTGGAGATTCCATTCTGTGCACACCCGCATCTCTGTCTCTTCCATCCTGGCTCACAGCTCCTGTTTCAATGTGTTGCTTCCCAGACTCCTCTGACGACACTGCCCCGGTGCATTGAGGCCCCCCCGCGTCCAATCTATCCAATGTTCCACCACAATAATCTTAATGAAACAATCCTGATCACGTTGTTCTTGCATTAAAACCCTTCGGTGGCTATTCCATCAACTATGGAATGATGTTCCAAGTCCAAAGCAGGGAATGTGATCCCCTACAGTCCAACCTCTCCAACCCCATGTCCCCATGCCTCACCTTGAACCCTCTGCCCTGGTCAGATGAGCTACGTGCCGTTGCCAGCACACGAGCCTGCCTCCCGTCTGATGGGGTGGCTCCTCCTGGTCAGAATGTCCATGTCCCCCTGCCTCTCTGCACCACCCCAAAATATACTCATTGTGTGAACCCACCTCCTCCAGGAAACGTCTGCTCACACCCCACCCCGAAGGAAGCACCAGACAGCCCTAGCCTTAAGCCTCTGGCCAGTCTTCTCTCACGGTATCTACGACATGATCACACTTACTCAGGAACACAAGGAAGGCAGAAACTATCTCTTATCTCTTCAACCTCGGTGCCTAGCAGTGCCACCTGGTGTGTAGGACTTTAATAAATACTGGTTAAATGTGTGCATGTTTCAACGATCACATTCTAACGGCTCCAGAACTATTTTCCTGACCGCTCGCGTACTTTCAGTCTGGCTGCTTCTGATATGGAACTGCCTCTTATTTCACTTGCAAATCATCTGCGGAAGACCAAAACTACATCAGTACAGGAGATACAGAACCTTCTTATCCCCTGAGGAATCATTTCTCTGTTCTTTGTTCTTCAAAGAAGAATCACACTTCAAGGCCCTCCAACAGCTGAGAGTGAGAAACGATCGAAACGAATCCCTCCAAGTCCCTGCCCTCCCTGCCTCTCAATGCCCTCTCCCTAGAAGTGATTACTGACTCAGGCTCAGGGTTGAGACATTAATTAAAGGAGAATGATCGTGGTGTAAACCAAGACTGGCTCGTGATGTCTGTATCTGTGGGTCCCTTGCCCGTGTAGATGCAGAATAACCCTGAGAATAAAAACTGACTTCCCTGGTTGTGTGGCTTCTAAGCCTATGAGGGAGTTACCTGAAAATAAAGGTGCCATTCTCAATTCAGCAGTGGCAGCCCCTGGGTCCCCGGTGGAGGCTCTGGAAGGCTCTGGGCCCACCCAGAATTCTACCTAACATGTCATATATTCGCGACGTGGCTGCAAATACCCTCTCCCCCAAGTGCTGATTTCATATTGGAAGATAAGCAATTTAAATAAATGTGTCATTAACATAGTGCTTTCCTGCTCGATGCTCATGTACTTAGAGTAATTTGTTTTCCCAAATTCTCTTCCATAGACTCGTTTCATGCAATCCTCCACAGGACAATCTGAAACTCTTTGGGTCCCTAATAGACAATCCAGAGAACCTAGAAACCAACCAAACAACCAAACAAATAAGCAAAAACCCTTACACTGAAAAGCTGTCGAGACCTATTTGTTCTGGAACACATATCACACATGCTGCGGAACAGGACAGACCATCCTGACCACTTTGGTGGCCCTGGGTTCACACTGATGGCAACACAGCATCATTCAACAGACACTACTGGTCCCAGGGAGACAAGTGGGAGAGGTGGGTTACACTGGAAGAATGTGAGTATGTAAGATATTGTCTTGACGCCCTATAAGGCGTGTTCCCATTCTGCTTTGCTTATCTGTCCATGCATTCTTGCTGTGTGTGGATTCCAAACCCCAAAAATTTCAAGGATATTTCCAACATCCTTCATTAATAGAAGCTCTTAAAAACTTCATAGCGTAATGCTCAGATACACTCCAAACGTGCAAAAGCAGGTACCATATAAGGGTTTGTTCCCCCAAACCTGTGAGACTCGGGGCAGCAGCATGATCACAGTGATGTGGGCAGCTGGCTGGGCAGCAAAAGACACAGGCATCTGGGTGGATCCAGCCATAGCTTTGTGTATGCTACTATGCTAGAGGCAAGATTGTGGTTCTATTACACATGGGAGCAAAAATAAAACCCAATGAAGAGGTGAAGCACTTGAGCAGTGCACTCTGTGGGATGGGCTGGGGGCCATGCACCGTGTGTGTGTGGCAGAAAGCAGAAGACCCATTAAAGAGCATGGAATAACCCTGGTGAATGGAGTTGGCTCTCCAGGCTCTGCCACAGAGGAGCCACAAGGTGTGGGACAAGTGACTCTACTCTGAGCTCCATCTCCTTCTTGTAAAAGAAAAGAAATGATAACAATACGAGCAGTAGGTGGCTACCCTGTGCTAAGCACTCACAACATAGCAGGTGCTGTTGAAAGCACTTTATAAACACTTGTTAGGCACCATCTCACCTACTCCCGAGGACCCCTGTGAGGGAGAGATCATTAATTCCAGTTCATGGAGAAGGGCTCAGAGTTCAGGGACCAGCCCACGGTCACCCAGCTAGGGTGTGTTCAAAACCAAGTCCACCTGACTGCTGTTCTTTGGAAAGACTAGCTCCAATGACTGCCACAAAAGCTGTGAGATTATATATTATATATACATAATATATATAATATTTAATTGAAATGCCTTGGATTGTGAGTAGCTTGTTCTGTGAGTGTTCTGCAAGACGAGCAAACATTTCTAATAAATTTTAACTTGATAAACGAGCAATGTCTTGCAATATGAGTCGTATGTGACTCTGAACGTCACATGATCACGACTGAGCCAATGGTTCTTGAAATTCACTTTGGCATACAAGGGCTTTGGATTGCAAGCATATTTCTGGAACAAATTATACTCGCAAATCAGGATTTTACTGCATACGCAAAATGCTCTGAATGCAACGTAAGAACATCAGTCATCGTTAACACAGCCCACCCCCTCCAGCGCTCGGATCACCCTCTTTGACCGCCGCTGAGCAACTAGCTGCTGGCTGCAGCTCCTTCCCCGGGATTGGGACCCAACAATCCAAAGGTGGCTGGAGAAGGAGGCAGTGCCCCCACCCGGGTCACTTACTTTCTCAGAACTGCTATCTCGTTCTCTATGCTGCTCTCCTTGCCTTTCAGTGCCTTCTTCGGGATGCACTTCACCGCAAAGAGCCTGCCACTCGCCTTCTCTTCGGCTAAGACCACTTCAGAAAACGCCCCGCTGTGAACAAAGAGGGAGAAAAGGAAGCGGCTTAGACGCAGGAGTTGTGGCTCCTCCGATCCCACTACCAAGGTCTAAGGAATAATAACAACAATCGTCCGCATTACTGTTACTTTTTTTAGCGAGCATAGCTCCCTACTGGACATCTTGATCCAAACAAGTACCTTCGTGCAATGGGACACGTGGCTGTCCACGTGGGTTTGGCCACCGCCCGGTGCCACCTGCCACCCCACAGAACACTGCAGCAGTGGCCTTTGAGTGAACAGGGACGCTCCCGGAATGGCTCCTGTGGAGAAAGAGTATGCCCATTCCCTTGCCAGCCCCCACACCCAAGTAAATGACAAAGTAGTGCCAAAATTTCTAGCTTCCTCACAGGTCCTTCCATCCCAAGAAAATTTCAGAGCACGCTGCAAACATTAATTAATTCTTAGAGGCAGGTAAGGATATCATTGAAGCATGAGCTGGTGCAACGCGTGGTATTGACATGGGGTTAATTAATTGGCAAAAACACACAAGTTTTCAATAAGCGGCTTATTTTTTTTTAAACAAACAAACAAAAGCACACACGATGCCCTGAGTGGGGGAGACTTTTCTGCCTGAAAATGTAAACTGAACTCTGCAAAGGCAGAGCAGCAAAGGACATTCGGGGTTGGAGAGCTCATTTCTCCGAGGAGGCTCTGTGGTCATCGAGCCCCAGAGCCAGCACCTCAGTGGCCACCATGTCACCCACCCTAGGTACCATACTCGGGCTGGGGGGCAGAACTTCCCTAAGGGCTCAAACAGGAATAGGTTCGTCCATTACCCACTCGAGGCCTCAGCAACTTGGGCCCTGTGCACACGGGCCATGGAGAAACCACTGTCCACTGAGTCACTCTCTGTCTTTAGACTTGTCAAGGACCAACTCTTTCTCCTTCAGAGGGACACTACACATGGCTTCTACACAGTTATAATTAGAGACAAACGCTCCTACATCAAAAGAAACCACTAGAAGGACCAATATCAAGCCAATACCAGAGCCTGAGGGTCTGTTCTTCAGTCAACATCAAAAGATGCTTAAGCAAGAATTTCAGACTTTCCTCTCCCTCTGCTTACCCATCTGACAGGGACACACATCCATCCACAGACCAAAGGAAATACAAATATATAGTTTTAAAGTCCCTTCCGGGGAGAAGAATTCACTCTACTTAGCACAGTAAATTGTGAGTCTTCAGACAGTGTTCCTTCTGGAACATAAACTTGAGATAAATATATATTTATAGAATTCTATAAACCCAAGGGGGAGAGGTTGGGGGTTCTACCAAAGAACCAAAGGAAAAATGTCAGAACCAAGATCTTCTGCCCAAATCCACACATCGAGTAGGATTTTCCCTCACAGCACCACATGCCTCGCATCGACAGAAACCTTCCAGAATCAACTAGAACTACGATTATGAAATAGAAACACAAAAAACCCACAACAGATTGATCACAGAGTGATTAATGGAATCAGACGTTCCCAGCGGCGCTTGGTCACTGCCAACGGATTCCGCCTACGGAAACCAATTCTTGGCAACTTTAGGGGATCCCCCGAACCCGGCTGTCTCTTCTCCTCACCTCTGTCTCGGGGACAGACTGACACGGATTCACCGCACAACAAGGGTTCTCAGGTGGAAGGAACCATGCACAATCATGTATATGGTCCCTTCTGCTATCCTCCAGGAGGTGGAACAAGGACGATGTTAGAGATAAGAAGAATCAGTGAGGGAAGACGAGGAGTCTGGCACGATGGGTGACTTTCTACTGGGGAGTCCATGCATTTGTTTTCAGTTTCCCTACTTGCCACTTAGGTCCCTGATGCTGATGACACCACAGTGGTTCCTCTCCTGAGTTTGTTGAACTTACCAGGTCCATTTTCCACAAGGGAGAGAAGCCCTTTAGCAGCAGTGACCACTGCCAGACCTGTTAGACTTCCCCGCTGCCCCCTGCCCCACTCTGCACCCACCACACTCCCTCCTCTTCAGAATCTGCACCAAGAGTAACAGACTATGCCCAACACAGAGGAGGGATTCGCCTTGGGTAGCTATCAAGCGCTCAGAAGAGTAAGCACCTCCTTATTCCATGGACAGTTCTCTCCCTGGAAAACAGAGTGGGAAGTGAGGTTTCTGTGTGAATTGACCCCTGGGGCCATGACAGAAGAGGGAGGGAACTAGGTCCTCCATCAGAGCCAGTACTGGTGGGCTACTGCAAGACACTGAGGTCAAGGTGAGGCACTGGCACTCCTGGATCGAGGGCTCTCTGCCTTCGTCCCTGACTTCAGGAGGGATGGACTATCTGTGACCCTGAGTGAGGGCAGGACAGTGGGACATAGATTTGTAAGGGGCTTCACAGGCTAAGCAGCTGGGGCTTGACCACAAGTCACCTGTGAAAGGGGACAAGGCAGGCCCCTGATGGCCAAGGATGCCCCCAAGACTCCAGACATCTCCATCAACAGTTAACAAGTAGAATCACAAAGCCAAGGTTACGGTCCTATTCTCTCAGGCTGAAATGCAGTCTGCAATCCCATTTCTGGGCATGCTACCAAAAGAATCAATAGCAGGGACTCAGATATTTGTACACCCATGTTCATTGTCACATTATTCACAACAGCCGAAGGGTGGAAATGACCCAGATATGCATCAGTGGATGAATGGATAAACAAAATGTGATCTGTCCGTGCAGTGGACTATTATTCAGCCACAAAAAAAGAATGGAATTCTGACACCTGCTACAACATGGATGAACCCTGAAGACATTATACTAAACGAAATAGGCCAGAATCTAAAGGACAAGTATCATATGATTCCACTTACACAAAGTACCTAGGCTAGTCAAATTCATACCCAGAAAGTAGAACGGAGGTTGCCAGATTTGGGGAAGCAGAGAATGGGGAGTCAGTGTTCAATGGGGACAAAGTTTCCATTTGGGAAGACAAAAGATATCTGGAGATGGATGGTGGTGATGGTTACATAACAATGTGAATTGTCTTAATGCCACTGAACCTCACACTTAAAAATGGCTAATGTGAGGGGCGCCTGGATGGCTCAGTCGGTTGAGCGCCGACTTCGGCTCAGGTCACGATCTCACGGTCCGTGAGTTCGAGCCCCGCATCGGGCCCCTGTGCTGACAGCTCAGGGCCCGGAGCCTGTTCCAGATTCTGTGTCTCCCTCTCTCTCTGCCCCTCCCCCATTCATGCTCTGTCTCTCTCTGTCTCAAAAATAAATAAACGTTGAAAAAAAATTTTTTTAAAAAATGGCTAATGTGATACATTTCATGTTATGTTTCACCGCAAGAAAAAATAAAAAGTCTGCCCAGTTCTACTCAATGGCATTACCTGGGGATGGATGCACTGAAAAAAACATGACAAATCTTTTCTCTCGTTACCTCCTCAAGGAAAAAGAAATGAGTAACTACGGGTGTTGGGTACCATGTGACACAAAGCGCTTTGGCGCCTGTCAACTAATCCAATTCTTACAGCATCCCAAAAAGTGTACAGGAGTTAGTTACCTGTAACCCTCTGAGGTGCTTTTCCATACACTCTGCTGGGCCACTGTGTGCTGCTGGCAGAAGGAGCCTGCCTCTCAGGCAGGGAGGATGACAGCCACGGAGGGTCACCCTGCCTCAGCATGAGCTGCCATCCTTCCCTGAGCGTGCAAATCCCCACCTCACTTCCTCATTTAGCCCAACAATGCGCATTTACCTCCTTCCACAGACAAAGCTCTCTGGTCTTCCTAGGGGATATATGATTAGCATACATTGTTACTGTTCCTGCAATAAATAGAAATCGCTTGAAGACACTTACCCCATTGCAGGAAAGCTAATTAAAAACACCAGAAGCAGAAACACATGAATGAAGAGTCTGGGCACTTGCAATGTAATTACATAACAAAGTAATGTGTGTGTCTGGGCTGGGGGGGGGGTTGGGGGGGGG